CGGCGCGGGGGGGGGGGGGACAAGGATTCGTGTGTTCGTGTGTGCGTGTATCGAGATACAAACTCGATTATGAGGGTTCGATAGCCGACGGGGTCGAAGGGTCATCCGCGGGACACGGCTCGCGAACGGTGGCTTATCCTTCGTATCCTCTCTGCGCTCCTCTTCCGTCGCGTGACGTGAAATGTAGAAGAACGGTAGCCATTTCGTATCATTGCCGGCGATATGCCCGACGACGACGGGACACAATAGTCACCGCTTAGGATGTCAGTTGCCTTTTTTTCGGGAAACGAAACTTTTTAGCCCTCCCGCGGCGAGATATCATCGCCGCTGGAAGAAGCGCCACGCGATCCTGTCTTTCCCCGAACTTTTCGGTAATAATAGAAAACGATGCGAAGACTTAAATTCTCTTTAGCTATGAATTTAAATATTTAATGATTTTTTTAATATAATTTAAAAATTGCTTCGGACGAGATTTGGAAAAATATGTCACGCGTTTCGCGATGAGAAAACAAGCGGCCTGGTGAAAAAGATGTTGAAAGCGAGATGATTACTGGGCGGGCGAGTGTGCAATTTTGCGGGTTTTTATAGCCGTCATAACATTTTTGCCGCATCTCGCGTACGCGCAATTAGCGAGTTAGCTGCTATGCAATCATGCGTGTCGTTAAAACACTTCTAAAGAAGCGGCGACCGACTTTGGCATCGGCCGTGTCCTGTTCGACAGTCGAATCCTGTGTTTAAAGTCGATTTAAGCGAGCAGCTTGTTATTACATCGTTCAGACGTGAGATACGTGCGGTATCGCCATGTAAAAAGCCACCGCGCGAAAAAACTTGCCGTGATAAATATTAGTTGCAATATTTCACTGCTGTCTCCGCTGACTAATAAAAGACACTTGTGTACTAGTCGCGATAAAGCATGCCTTGGAAGATACGGCGGCGATGTTTGTTAATTCTGTCCATACCGAGCCTGTATTTGTGTGAAAAACATTTCAATTCTCCGCAAGATTTTTTCCCAACGTGACATTGTCAACAGCATATCGTTAATAGAATTAACAAATGGCTTTTTTCTAACGAGAGATAACTCCACATTTCTTATTTTAGATACCTTTAAGTTTAACAAAATAAACGAACGAAAGTCTAAGCAGAATTGTTTAATTTACTTACGACTCGTCTTCCACGAACTGAATCGCAGCGCTAAATGCCGTTCGATCTTTGATTTGCAGGTATCGGCCGGCCAGCATATGCAACTCTCAGGCGATCTGAAGCCGGTCGTGTCTGTCGCGGCGCAGCAGGGCATGTACTTCAATCAGCAGCAGACGCAGAATCAGGCCGGGCCCGCCGCCAACCAGACCGATACCTATTGCTCGGTCTCGCAGTCGCAGACCATCAATTTCACGCAGCAGAGCCTGAGGCAGAGGGCGGCGGCGGCCGCGGCTGCAGGCGGAGTGCCGCAGCCTGGAGCCGGTGGTCCAGGAGCGCGGGGCCATCCGCAGCAGGTGCCGCCGGGCCAGGTCGATCAGCATCAGCACGCGAAGCTTCTCCAGCAACAGCAATTGATGCGCGCGCAACAGGTAAGCGAACTGCTCACCTTTGCGTCAGCAAATTTGCGTATCAGGTTGTTTTACACGCCTAGCACACCTCGACGAGAGAGATTTTCGAACACGTTTTCCGATGATGAAACGTGTCGGCGTTAAAGCGCCGAGCGATTTCGCCACCGACGCAAATATGTAATCTTTATGTGAATTTAACGCGACAAGGCGCGGACGATTAGACGCGGAGAACCGATTTTTTAAACGTAACTCGGACTATAAATCTATGCAAAGATATGTAAATTGTAATTTAAATTACGTGCAAAAGTAGTTTTTTTTTTTTAAGTAATAAAAATATGTAAATTGTAGCATCGATATTCAGTTTTCCTTTGCATTGCACATCACACGCTTCGCGACGGCTATCACGCGTGTGACATTTATCTTCACGCGCTCATTACATTCCATCCGTGCGCATTCGCCGACGTCGTTCGCATCTACGCGCTCGAGAGTCGTCCGAATTGTTGAAAGGGAAGTCGATAAACGGTATCGCCCTCCGTTGAAACTTCCACCGTGATGATCGCGCCTTCTGTAAGTAAGATGATCACGAGATCGCGGCGCGATGCCTCTCCGATGGCGCATTATCCGAGACATTAAGCTCGCATTCGACGGAAGGGAAAGAGAAAGAAAGGAGCCGAGCCCCCGCGCCCGCGACGTTCGTATGCAACAGGTACCGCTACCAGGTCTTTCGCAACTTCTGTCCCGCCGCGTTGAAAGAAGCGACACAAATAGGACAAATAGCGGCGCGCGGGGGCGCTTTCTCGGGGCACGCGGCCCAGGGAACAATGGGTGAA